TATTAATTGATTGTTAATTGATAAAAACATTTTTCAACTATCAACTAATAACGTTAACAGAACTAATTTTATAATATTTTGTTAACTCTGTTAATTGACTATTAGTTTGACTGTTAATTGACAAAAACATATTTTCAGTTAACAGAGTTAATAGTCAATATAAGTGAGGGCTAAAACCTATAAATTAAGTAAGATAAGGGGTTAAAAGTGTCATATATAAGATAAGGGGATAAAACCTTCAAACTAAGTAAGATAAGGGGTTAAAAGTGTCATATATAAGATAAGGGGATAAAACCTTCAAACTTGGTAAGTTGAAGGGTTAAAGCCAGGTTTTTGCCCCTGATTGACGGCCGTGGGAACAATGGATGCCTATATGGGCTTTTATTGCAGCCCAAGTAAGAGGGCCTTAACTGTAGCCCATGTAAGAGGGCCTTTTCTTTAGACAGAAGAACCGACAAAAAACGGCGTTTAAGGTTGCGTTTTGAGCTGAAGTTGTGAAAGAGACGTTTCGTTTCGAGACGTCTTTCTTACCGTTCCGGTCTGTACCTGTGTGGATCAATCTGGAGGTAGTTGAAGCTCCAGTCTTCACATGGAATCAGCTTCGAGCACAGCTTCAATGGAGGAACTCCGATACTGAAAATTGAAAAATAAAGAGAAAATGGAAGAGAAAGAAGCTTGTTTCGAGTGCCTCCAGCGCCGAATTGAATCTGATTTCTCAGAACAATTAGTTTTCTCCTATGGTGTTTCCGATTCACCTCTTCCGTTCGGTTCCTCCGCCGTTGTTCAGGTACTCGAATGAGCTTTTTCTGTATTTAATGCTTAGGTATATCATGTATGCATGTGTAATCTGAGTTTCAACGTTGCAGATGCCTAATTCAAGCGGGGAGCCTTCAGCTGCAGCTTCTCAATTCGTTTTAGTGTATTTGCCCAGTGACGAGCAGGATTGCTTGAGTAAATATGTGTAAGATCATCGAAACACTGAAATGGTTATGGAATGAAATTTCATCTAAGTTTAGCAATATGACTTTTTACCAATATAGCTGTATAACTGGTGATGTGACACTGTTAAACTGCTGTCATAACCTTTGCAGTGATGAATATATCAATGAAAATCCTGTGGGAAGCAATAAAAGTGGGAGTGCTGGTCTACTATCATCAGAAGGAAATGGAGTTGAGATGAAGACCAATGTTGGGAGTGACAAGACTACTAATGTATCTGATTCCTTACTAAACAAATCTAGTTCTTTGTCTAATGGTGGCAAAAAAGCATCAGTAGGTGGGATGGGATATGAAAATGGCAGTTGTGACCACTTTTCTTGGTTTTCTTACTCAAGGAAAATCACTGCATTGGCCTCAATTGCTTATGTTGGTGTTTGCTCGTATTCTATATTTGAAGAGCTTGCATCTAGCTTCTTGTCTGGGAATTTGGAAGATCATATATTGTGTTCGCTTAATCTGCTGATACAGGGAAAAGCTTCAGGACGAGATAGTTTAAACTTTCTTCGTCTAGTTGGAATACCATCATTTGATGAGAATAGCATCCCTGGTTGCTTAAGGCACCCAAACATAGCTCCTATTCTTGGATTACTGAAAACTTCTAATCATGATATTAATTTAGTGCTTCCAAAAACTCCATATACCTTGGAAAATGTTCTTCATTACAGCCCAAATGCCTTAATGTCTGAGTGGCATATAAGGTTTTTATTCTATCAGCTGCTGTCTGCCCTTGCTTACTTACATGGTTTAGGGGTTGCTCATGGCTATATATGCTCATCCAGAGTACTGC